AAAAAGTGGTTATTCTGTAGTTTCAAGCATAAAGCTAAAAGTTATTTAATTTAATGAATGTGTTCAAAACGTACAATCTTTCTATCCAAATTGCAAGTGACCCAGAAAATAAAAATAGGAAGATCGGGCACTCTCTAAGCTGAGTTTTACAAGATTGCAGATGCAGCAAATATATTGGAAGTATGAAGATAATTGAACTCATAGAAGTGTTTAAGAAATATGTGAGTGAATCCCATTACCCCAACACTCGTACGACGATAAAAAAGAACAGAATAAATATGGAACTAAAAAACCACATACTTTTTACCAACAGCAAAAGCAACAATTGTTAAGTGAATCCATGTGAAGAATACTTCTTGTCAGCTTCTAGTTCACATCATTGCCTTTACTGTCCTGCTCCAAATGATAAAACAGAAAAAAACACTCGTCCAAAATTTCACATGAATCATGGATAAAAACTGGATCCACATAGCACATGAGATGTTCTTGAAACAAGAATTTGTAAATAGAAAATAACCCTTTTCTCTGTGTTGTTGAAGAAAACATGTTATTAGTACGTAACTGAATAGGTAATAGTTGGACATGAACCACTAAGCGCCTGTGAGGGTATAGTTGAACTATTTGAAGCTTGAGAACAAAAGTATAAAACCAATTTCAACCAAATACCAAAAAAACGACCAAAATTCTCACAATTTCAAACAAACCCATATATATATAGAAACAGACAGAACAAAATAGATGACCACGGTGGAAATTAAAGAGTAGAGGAAGTGAATACAAAGAAAAAATTGGGAATTAGGGTTTACCGGGGATCCATTGTTTCATGGCGGTAGTGGTGGGGCTTCTTGAATCCGCCGGTGGTCGAAACAAAAGCTGAAAATAGGCCGCCAACTATACGTGAGGCGGAGAAAACTAAACACACACACAATTAGGGTTCGAAATACAAATAAAGGAAATTATTTTCTATCTAATTTCTGGCAGGAACAAAGAGCGAGCATCCATCGACAGAAAAGATTGAAAGACGGAGATGATCTTTTGAAGGCGTAAGAGAAAGATAGGGCTTTCTCACAAACTCGTACAGATGTTCAATGCCTAATTGAGTAAAAGCTAAGGTCGAGTTTTCTGCCAATTTCCAACTTTTGATACAGGCTACACAAGGTCTACGTTGAAGAAAATGTCACAGTTGTAAGATAGGGTTTCGGCAAAGCTCTCTCCAAAATTTACCCGTTTCTCAATCGAACATCTTAATTCTTAAGATATTGATGCCTATGCGACGTCGTTTTGCTCAGACAACAACCAAAAAATAAAAGGCCTTCCAAAAGGCACAACCTCTCTACAAATGAAAGAAATGTGCCACGTGGTGCCACACAAAGGGAAGACATTTTTCCTTATAAGTATACTAGTTGGATTTCGGCTGTGAGTGTCGATAATCATGTGAAAATTTGGTGTCACTTGACGTATAATTGTGTCAAATATTTATAAACTACAAAAAGAAAAAACATTTAAATCCTAAAAAAAATATGCCCAAATCAAAAGTCTAAGATAACACTACACTACAAAATAGTGTGAAATCTTGGCAAACTGAAACATACAACAGAACAGGCAGAAAAACACACTTAAAATAACATAAAAAATTATAAAGCAGAATATAGAAGACAAACAAATAGGACTCATTGTTTGCTTGAAACTGGGAATCTACACTTCGGCTTCGATTGTATTCAATCGTAGATGGTATTGCTGAAGGGGTGTCACGCTGAAATGGCATAGGGGTTGCTGTGGAAGCAGATAAATAAGACATTTTTCTGCGTCCATTCAATCACATTGTTTGGAGATGTTTCTCAAGCTGTTGAATCTAGTTCTTTAGCAGTTGCCTACAGTAATAGGTACATATCATAAATCTTGGAAGATTTCATTACTCAATCATTAAACCAAACTCAACATATATGCACATGAATAACATGATAACACGGGTGAAAGAGATGGGAAAACCACATTAATCAATTGAAACTGATTACCCCACAATCAGCTTTTCATATATCTCCATGACATTTTGTGAAATATCATATATCAAAAAACTAAACCAAATTGCAATTACCTCTAAAAGTAGAAACACACTTCCATGACATTTTGTAAAATATCATATATCTAAAAACTAAACCAAATTGCAATTACTTCTTAAAGTAGAAACAAATGCAAGAAGAGTTAAGCACGCCTTTCTGAGGAAGGGCCTAGAATCTCTCTGAATTGATCTCATCACAATTGTCACATTATCAAGAAGATCATTTGAATAGATATTAGAGTATCCTTCATATCCTGCAGTAGCGAGAATAAGATATTTAACAAACTTGACTCATTGAGGATTAGTTTAATTAAATGATTACACTGAGGGTAGAGGAGTTGACCGATATTGATCCAAAACAATTTGATCCACATCTATATTATTAAGAATTGAAATAAGCTAATAATATAGAGCCGAAACTGTGACCGCAAAATAGTTGGACCGAAAAGCACTAAACAAGCTAATAGTAAGTTATTACTTAAATAATACAAAATAATGCTAAAAAGAAAGAAACACAACTCAAATATAGCATACAAAGCCTATGTTGCACTTCTTCATACAGCGTATCAACAAATAAAATATTGCTGTTATTTCAAGAAAGAGACAGAGATTATCGAAAGTAGGAAAAAAATGGATGAAAAGCCCTTTCACTCGCTTAAGAATGAAGATTTCCCAAAACGCTTTTGTACATAATAGATTACACCAAAAAAAAAAGAAAGATAAAATAAGGGGCTTTTGCTCCGTAGAGAATCATACAAGCACCCGATAAGTAATTTCGTCAATGTATTGAAAGACGAAAATAGACATAACATTCTTTTTACTGTCAATCTTTTTCTTGCTGAAGCCACTGCACAAATGCCAATTGGCATCAAACGGTGATAATTACTGGACCAATGCCAATGGGCATCAGACTGTGATAATTGCTATGGAAGTATGGAATTTGCAAGTTCTAAGGGATCAAATCACCAGTCTACAAAGTGTCTATTGCTTACATATCACAAAAACATCAATAAGCCCCCAAATTCAACCAATTTAGACTAAATATAGTAAACGTTCAGATTAATAACGTAATAACCAAGAGTTTAAAAAAAAAAAAAACAATCATACCTTTAGCCTCTCCGAGCTCCTTGTAATGAAGTAAACCTGAAAACTCATCCATACACGACCTCTCCAGAAACTCAACGAAAATTGCACTAAACGGGTGGACCTCTCCGTGTTGAAAAGCTGCTCCATCTCATTGAAATTCGGCGTGTAGAACCTCGATAGAGTTATGGTTGTTCATGATAATGTTTCAAGTTCCAAGGATATGCAACCATATAGATGGTTGTCTCTTTCTTTTACTATCTTCCCCAATAAAATCCAACTGTAAAATTGTGAAATTGCAACAGAGAAAATATGTGAAGCTCGTCAAGAACTTGAACAGTGTGACCATCTAAACTAAACTGAGCAAGTGATGTTTAAATAGGATTTGTTCCATTGACTTCATTTAGCCTCTTTTATTAATGAGAGTGTTTTAGAAAGCACACTAATACTGTACTTAGGTCTCTAGACCCATTTTTCACATTACACTGAAGAGTCCACCGACCAGTCATAGTTATAGGACAAACATTGCCAAATGAAACATCTATTGTTGATAAGAAACCTAAATCTAAAGATTACATAAATCTCCACAAAGCAAGAAATGCACAAGGCTCTTTGGAAATCCGGGCTTAACGGTTAGGAAACAAACAACAAACTAAACAACAATTATCTTGTATTGACGTGAAAGCTTCAAGCAAATAAAAACGCCAGTCAAACATAACTGATCAATCCCACAACACATTATACAGAATTCCAAAACCAAATAACGTAAGTTACCAATTTAGTACCAGTGACAGAATAATTGTACTCTGGCGAAGCAAAGAGTGCTATCAACAGCTAGAATCTTCTGCCTAAATGCCTCTACAGTGCGTGGGTAGGTCCCATTTACCTCAATATCCCTGTAGAGAATTAGTAATGGTCATATGTCCATATACTCAATCTCCAACCCCTTGATATACTTCGATAAATTCATGGCTAAATGGTTGACACCCACAGGTAACATCAATAACTCGAATTTGGGATTTGAGCGGTTAAAGTGGAAATGTGGTCGAGTTTTAGATAGAAAAAATTTAACCAAGAAAGGCTCTTAACCAAAAAAATTTATTTTATTTTAACCAAAAATAAAATAAAATCTTTAGCAAAATCTGCTTACCACAAAGTTGAAGAGTGTGAAAAAACCTAAAATTTCATTTAGATACCTGCGGATCACTTCCCTCGCGCCATAGCTCACGCGCTTCATGTCGGCGGAACTGTCGAAGTGAGGCGGCGGCGCCTAGGGCGATTCTACTATTTCCAGAAGAGCTTGGGGACGGAGAATTACTTGGAATGTCGACAACGGCTTGGACATGGGGTCGCCAGTGAGGCCCTTGAGGTCGAGGAAGTCGGCTGCGGAGCTGGGGTCGCTGGAAGAGAAGTCGCAATTGCAGCAGGAGGAGGGCGCGGACCATGGAGAGGCAATTGGAGGGGGAAGAGCTAGCCCTTGTGTAAACTAATTTCCAGTCTCTCAAAATCAATAAGGGGGTGATTGGATATGAATTCAACTAGTAAAAAACTAGTTTTTTTTGAACTATAGTTAAGTTTGAAAAAAAATAGTATAGTTAGTTGTTAGTGAATATATTAAAATAATATTTAAATTAAAATAATTAAAGTTGATTTGATGTAAAAGTAGGAGAAAATGATTGGAAGTGATGGTTAGTTAAAATTATGTGAATGTGTGAATAGTGAATTAAAGTTGATGTGATGTGTAATAATGATTGTTTGATATTATTTAATTATATTGATAATATTGGAGATAATGGAGTTGAGTTAAAGTTGAGTTAAATTTGAGTTTTGAGTGAGATATTTACTGTAGAAAATATAAACAATCACGCCCTAAGCATTCTCATTCAGACCCATCTCGGTAGCTGAAAATTGTAAAAAGAAAACATACATATAGATTGATTTTGAGCCTATTATCCAATAACTTTAGGCCCACCTAATTGCACCTCGCCCAATAACTTCTTTTTGGGCCTATTATCCAATATAATGGGCTTTATCCATTTACATCTCCGAGGTCATCAAATTGTTAAAAGTATGTAATAAAATAATCAAAACAAAATAATCCATTCAAATAATAAATAAAACAAAAATAATAAACGTGCGAATAGATTAAGTGTATTAAAATACACTATTAAACATATAATACGCTCACATTTTTCACTTATCAATTATTTTATTTTCTAATAGTTTATTTGTTGATATTAAATTATTTTGAATATTATTAATAACTTTATAAAATATAATTACTATTTTTCGACAGTGTTTGTATCTTCCATAGTTCAACTCGTTGAAGCTCGGATTGATTTACTCGTTTAATAAATCTAAAATCCTAAACAATTTGTTACTGCATAACTCATTTCGCATAACAATGAGTTGATTCATAAATTTTTAGAAGATTAATATATAAAACGTTTTTTTCATTTATTCTTCTTGATATTAGTTATTATGTTACGTTTATTAATTTTTCATTGAAATATAATATTATAACTACAAGTATATAAAAGTCTCGATAAGTTTTAAAAAGTCCATTATGAAAGATTTAAAAAGTCACTAATGAGAATTCTCTAAAAGTCTGAACAAATCCACCAAAGTCATGAAAGTTTTACAAAGCCCATAAAAGTCACCAAATTTAAAAAATTTAAAAAAATATTTAAGAATCTCAATTGAATACAACCCCATAACATTACATATAGTGTTAATCCCATTAAATAGCCATAAAAGTTTACAAAACACAAATTTTGGCCACCTTTTATAAAAAATATCTTTTTTAACCATTTTGACATATGTTTTTACTACATTACCCCTAACTCAATTTTTGCTTATTTTTTCCCCAATTCAACTTATTTCACAATCAAAATTCAGATTCATCTTCAAAAAATTCACTTTCCCCGGCTCTCGCTCTGGCTCTGAAACCTCACTACCTCACGACCACCGTCAAAAAATTCATCTTAAAAAAATTCATCCCGTTTGAACGCCGCCCTTCACGACCTCGACGACCTCGTCCGAACGCCGCCCTTCACGACCTCACGATCTCGACCGAAAGCCGTCCGAACAACGGAACGACCTCGCCGGAATCTGAAATCAACGCGCCCCTTCACGACTCTCGACCGAACGCCGTCCGAACGACCGAACGATCTCGCCGGAATCTGAAATCAGGTAGCTTTGACGACCTCCCTTTTGGTAGTAATTAGGGTTTTTTTCTATTTCGAATTAAGAGTCCCTTCATGTTCGAATTAGGGTTTTTTTTTTTTTTTTNAGTTTTTTTTTTTAACTTGTTATTCAGCTTACCAAGTCATTGCTGTTTCAATTTGGAAAGAGTTTGAGCCTACCAAGTCAAATTTGTCCCTGTAAGAGCAATTTTTTGTATTTTCTATTTTTCGCAGCTTTAATTTCGTTTTTTCTATTGAAATTTGGTGTATTTTTTCTTTTAAAGGAGAATTTGTGGTTCTATCTGTAATCATGGATCCTAGTGAAATAGCTGAGAAGGACCTTTTTCCATTAGGATCGTTAATCGTGTATTTATGTATGTGTGGTTGTTGACCCGAATTGAAAACGAAAGAAACTTATGTCGTCCTCTATGATTCATTTTGACGATCATGAAATTCCTGTCCTGTCTCATAACACTTACATTGTACTTGTTGTTTCTAGCAGGGCCGTCTCCAACATTTTTTGGGCCCAGAGCGAAAAATAAAATTAGGCCCCCCTAATTACAATATTGAATAATATATTTTTAATATTTTATTAATAACAACTTCCACTTCTCAAGTAGGAAAGAACCTCCCCCGGATGGACAAAACACAAAAGGCTCTTTCTATATATTATTATATTTTTTATTTATATTATTATATATATAATATTTTAATATTTATATATGGGGCTCCAATTAATTGGGGGCCCTGTGCAGTTGCTCACCCTGCTCCCCCCAAAAGCCGGCTCTGGTTTCTAGTTTGATGCATCAAAGTTGAGAAAGCTCAGGCCAAGTTTCAAAAGAAAATGGAGGTTCTGTAACTGCAGGGAATGCTTCTAGTATAAGGTTCAGTGAATTCACTCATTATTTGTTTCTATTTGCTCAAATTATAATTAACACATACACCATATGTATATATGTGTGTGTGTGTGTTCTGGGCACAACATTTGACAGATTACTCATTGAGTATATAGATGAAGTTGACTTGTGACATTGTTTTGATTCCCCACTTTCTTATATTAGTGTGACTGGTTGAATGAGTTCTTTTCAGATATGACATAGCCGAGTGACTAAGAAATATTTCATTTGAGCTTGAGTTTGTATCTGCTTTTAGAATGGAATTGTGGTCTATCAGGTCATTTGTCATCTGTTTTCATTTGTTTGTACTATGTTTGTCAAAAATGTTAGGAAAAAAAATGCTACTGGCCCCACTCATTTGACAGAATAGGCTATCAACACTTGAAATGGGAATTATTCGACTAAGAGTTCTTATTGTATGTAGTGATGGCTGCTGCTTTAATTCTCGTTAGTGGAGCTATGGCAATTAAGCTTGGATTGAATGTTATTGCCAGGATCAAAGGCTATGCAGACGCAGCACAGGTGGCGTGCTAATTTTTAGTTTCATTTATTATACATTTTCTGTTGCGTATATTACTAACCTTGGCTGGGGTTACGAGTATCACCGACCTATTTAGAATCAACTATTGTTTGTTCTATTCTAAGTAAGTTTTGCCTGCATTTTGAGAGATTAGTGTTACGGATCTTATTAAATCATTTGTTTGGCAGGCACCTGAACTGTTCACAACTGCTCCAGCCATCGCCATACCAAAGGCAATCGTTAATGCTGGCTTGAAAGCATCCGATATTGATTTCTATGAAATAAATGAAGCTTTCTCTGTGAGAATCTATACTCTGAATTCTCTTTAAACAGTTAAATGGTAATCTTTCTAATATAAACCTTTTGCAGGTTGTAGCTCTTGCTAACCAGAGGCTGCTTAATATTGACCCCGTAAGTTGTGATGTTTGCTGGTTCCATCTCATTTGATCTGTCAGATCAATTAAACTGTTTTTTTCACTTTTTGTGGCGATTTTTAACTTGAAGATCTTTTTTATCTTATTACTCTAGAAAAGGTTAAATGCACATGGTGGTGCCGTGTCCCTAGGACACCCTCTGGGCTGTAGTGGGGCTCGCATCTTGGTGACACTATTGGGAGTGTGAGCACTTGGCTTTTTCTAAATTTCTGCCCACATCCTTTATTCTCACGTGAAGTGTATTCTTTTTGGTCTCTTATGCATAAGCGGATATTTTAGGTACTGAGACACAACAATGGGAAGTTTGGTATTGCTGGGATAAGCAATGGTGGAGGAGGTGCATCTTCTTGTTCTTGAGCTCATCAACGATAGGTGAGATTCACAAGATTGAAAAAAGGAACATTTTTTTTAACATATTTTTTTATATATTTGTTTGCTAATTGCTCCTAATGCCCCCAGTGATCACAAGGCATTCTTGTCACCATCTTATTCTTTTTTTTTTTCCTGTTGCTTTTATGTGTGTTTGAATGAGTGAATGTGTTCCATTGAGACAAGGCCTTATGTTTTATGCGTTGACATGCAGGCGTGTGGGGAGGGTGGCACCGTCAATGTATGAGGTCATTAGGTTCGTGTTGTACTGTAAATTCAAAGTTGTCCATCCAGTAACATATGGAGATTTATAATCAGCTTTTACTCGTTCACATTATCTCAAATCTCTGGAGAGCCGTTTTCCCTTGTGATAGAGTTTTTTGGTGCTGGAATGTACTGTATGTCCTTTTGTTGTGATGAGTCTTAGTATTCCGTTGTGATAAAGTCTTAGTATTCCGTTGTGATGAGAGTTTTCTTGTGATGAAATGTACTGTAAACATATCTATATTTTGCTCCTTTTATCTTTGTTGTGATAGAGTTTTTTTGTGATGAATTGTACTGTAAACATATACTCCCTCTGTTTTAAATTAATTGTCTTTCTAGCTTAAAAAAACAAAATTACGTATTGGAAGGAAGTAGTTATCTTACTGTCATTCTACTCCTTATCAGTTTTATTAGTTATCTTCTAAATCTTGTATAATTTTCTCTCTCCTTATCATTTTGATAGTTATCAATATAAATTATAGTTGTAGTTCCATTACTTTCACGTACTCACTTTAATATCAGTATTATTATTTTATGTTTCTCATGTCAAATAATAATAAAATATAAACTAATCTACAGATTTTTAGGATATGTAGATAGTTATAAAACTAAGTAGTTGATAATTATCCAAAATGACAATTAATAAGAAAAAAGAACTTTGCACTCAAAACGACAATCTATCATTATATAAAAAGAATAACCTTTTTACAAATTTAGAAACTTTTTCCCGCCAAAATCATTAAATATATCCTATATATAGTAATTATTGGACAAATCTGAATAGGCAAAAAAATCCGCTCATTAATTGTGTAAAGATTTGTTTCTCTTTTTCCTGTTTCTTAGTTTATCGTTTTAACAATAAATATTTATTTTTTTTTTCCTATTTTTAGTATAAATCTACACGAGCTTATCTCTTCTGTTACAAAATCTCATTGCATACGATATTAGGTGTTTAAAAAATCTCATCTCTTATCTATACAGATTTGAAAAAATAAAATAAAATAGAAATCAATTCATAATTACTACTAGAAATCCATTATCTTTAAAAATAAAAAATAAAATAAAATAGAAACTAATTCATAATTACTACTAGAAATCCATTATCTACTTTAAGAAGCTAATTTTCATCGGTCTAATTACTAATATTTTTACAAATATTCTAAGTTAACCATACAAAAAAGTATAATAATAATTTTGAAATG